TTCTCAATCTGTCAAAGCCTGTGACGAGATTTCTGGCTGGTTGATTATTTCTCTTCTAATTACTTTCTGAGTCATTTGTACCTTATAGTTTCCATTCTTGCTGGGCTGGAGAAATGGCTTAGGATTGATCATAAGTGTTGTGTAGTCCATACCCTGGTTCCCATGCTAGGAGCCTGGCAAGATCTGACTCGCACTGTGGTCATACCTTGATCCTTTTTCTCCCTAATGTGTTGAGCAATTTCAGAAGACGATGAAGATTGATTCCCCAACAACTCCTGTATGAGAAAGTACCCTTTTGTACCCTGTCCCTTTGCCCTGCCATCAGTGAAAGGTAGAACTGAAGCTCCCATCCATCACTGACTAGACACTAAGCCTGCCTGACATTTCAGCCTTTTTTGGCATCTCTTCTTCTGGACCCAGATTTACTGGGTTTTGCTTCCAATTTTTCCTTTTGTGCAACCTGATGTTTTCTGATGCTGTAGCAAGACAAGTCCCCTGTGAAGCCACACATCCACTGAGGAGGAGGTCCCATCAGTGGAAGTTCCCACCAAGCAGAACCACTCAGATTCCAAGTCCATCAGGACACCAAAGGGTCCCTCTTTGTCTTTTGGAGCCCCTCTTGTGATAGGTTGATACAGGCATGCAGAGGCAACCAGTGAACTGCCTGACCTTACTTGGTGAACATGGACTGCTCAGGGCATTCATTCTAGTAGTTGTTAGCAGGATGATGGAGCAGTGCTGAGAAACCAAGAGTATCCGTCAGCCATATGGGAGCTGCCTAAGGTGTTGAGCTTGTAAGCTAGCTACCAGGGTGTTGAATTCACTGTGGAGAGACACTATGTGGTAGAGAGTGTCCTTACCAGCCAAGAGACAAGACTGCCCTGAAGACAGGGGTTCTGACACATTGAGAGGTCTGACCAAGGGCCAAGATTTTTTTTTCTGCTTTGAGACCACTCCAGAAAGAATTCGTATGCATTTTTTTTTCTTATTTCCTTCCACACATTCTCTTCCCACCAGAAAGTGGGAGAATCCTTCACTCTTCCTGCTCTGCTCTTTTAACACTAGATTCTTGTTGCTTGGCTCCTCCTAATCCTGTAGACGGCTATTTGTTCACTGAATTTTCTCACACAAGCTGGGAAGCAGAGTCCTTCTGTAAGCTTTAATGTATCTGTGTGTTTTAATAACAAATTACTGTTGATTTTATACAAATATCCCTATCTAAGAACTTCAAAGTCTTTGGTGTTTCCCCCCACCCTCCAGACTTTGTACTTTTTGTTGTTGCTGTTGTTGACATTCCCATGCGATTCAGCCTTGGAGAAATAAATATTTGTTTAGCTGTTCTCCTGCTGTGCCTGCTCAGTGCATTTGCTTAATGATGACTTCAGTTAAGCTTTGCAAGGGTTTTAGGGCAATAGATTCTCCCAGAAAAACAAGAGACTCATTTGTGGACAACCTTACCTGTGTTCTTTCCCGCCTCTTGCCCCCGCCCCTTTTCCCCAGATAAGAGTTTGGTAAAATAAATGTGCACACAAAAGGCTCTTTCTTTGCCATGATAATGCATGGCTTTTCATAGCCTTTGTTTCAGCATTATCTGTTGCCAAGATCGGTTCTGGTGAGGAGTCAAAGTTTTGCCTGTTTATTTCTCTACTCCATTTATCTTGACTTGAAACACTGAGTAGAATGTTGGACTCAAGCAAGTACCTGCTGCCCGCCCTTGTCATTAGTTGAATTTTCTTGAATCTGTAATTTTCTTCTTTTCATCTAAAACATCAAATCACATTCTGGCTTATAACATTTGCTCTACAGCCAAGCCCAAGCCGCTGTTTCAAAACCTGCATGTGTTCATATTTGAAGGGTTTATGTTATGTTTTCTCAACTTCAACCTTCTTGAGTCAAATTGGAGAGAGATTTTACTTTCTACTCAAGACATCAAGTTGGTTTATGCCATCAGATTTTTTTTCAAAATAAGGACAAAGTTAACCTCCAAAATCTACATTTATGCACCTAAATGAAGGTTCAGCTTTTTTTATTCCTGGAAGTGCAGCACTAACTGGCAAAGAAATGAATGGGTGATTTTATTAATGCCATTGCCATTTCAAGTAATTTTGCACAGCTGGAAGTGGAATGCTTCTATTTAAAAAAAAAAAAAAAAAGGAAAAAAAAATCAAAAAACCCTCAACCCCCCCCCAATCCCTCTCTGGAAAAACTCTGGAAAGATCCAAATTTTGTTTTCTTTTTTTGTCCATGTACAAAACCTTCTTCAAATTATTTAAACTACTTATGCTTCACTTCTGAAATATGGCAAGTATAATTTTGCCAACAAGTAGATCCAACTTCTGAGCTATTTTCTGCCAGAAAGCAAAAATCACTTCAGTGAAGTAATACATCAGACTCTCTCTTCATCTATTTCCAGCTGATGAGGTTTCAGCTTATAGCAGAGATTGTTTTTTATTAGGCCCTGAGTACATGACCTGGCACTTGTGAAGCTGAGTTTCATCTGACTACTACTATCACTCCAGTCCTCATCCCACTGCTTTTTTTATGTGTGATATTCAGAGCCTCCTCCATAATGATGATTCATTCCACAGTGTGTCATCAGCAAATTTTGTTGGCACGGTCCTCCTTTACCGTGCCAAGAACTGTGATGAAAATATTATGTAAGATTTATCTCAAGAATCATCTATGAGGAATTCAACTCGTAACCTTCCTCTAGACTGACTGAAATCATGGGAAACAGCTGAAAAGGACCTCAAGTCCAAAATGTATCCCAAAGACATGAACTATATTCAGCAGATACTTGTCCTATTTGTTCTTAAACATAGTTGATGAGATTCCATAATCTTCATAGATACTCCATATCAGAAACCGAGTCTCCTAATCACTGGAGTACTTCTGTCCCTAATGTCTGCCCTGACTCACTTCTCTGACATTTGCCTTGTTTTCACTGCGCCAAATACAGCCATAGAATTAGCTCATTCCCCTTGTGAGTGATGCTTCTGCTCACAAACCACAATACCATGTTCTGACACGTTTGTTGTGTTCGTCCTTTGAGCTGGCTCCATACACCCATATTCATCAGCTGATGCTTTCGTGCATTAAAAGTTCTACCACAGACATTCATTTGAACACGAAGCACTATCCATTGAAATCAATGTTTACTTGACTTATGAAGCAATTCCCAGAACGTGATCATCTTCCTTTATGTTTCTGAATTTTAACTGAAGACAAAGCCTCCCTCAATTTCAGGGTGTCAGTAGTCTTTTGAAGGCTTCTTTTGCAGGTAGTCAGAGAACATTCCCTCTTGTAGAGCTCCTTGAGTATTTTATTCCACATATCAAATTAACAATTAATTTCCCCATCAGTCTTATGAGCGCTTTACTTTCCTGTCCCATGGGTACTCAGAATATCCGCAAGGTTTCTGCCATGTAATTTGGAGGAAATTATATGATATGTACATAGCAGAATACATTCTGTGTGCAATTTACCACAAAGCTAAATATTATGTTACCACAAAGACAACAAGTTGTGTTTGGAAACTCCTATATATAATGCTAATAAGAACCCCCATTCCATCTTATTCTAATTAAGCTGGAAAGCCTTCCTTTTTATAACATGTGAGAGACTTCAAAACATTCAGAATGTTAATAAACCCACAGGTGTTTCCATTCTTTATATCTTCTGGTATATACTATTCATCAAGAATTGTTGCTCATTTCAGTAGTAGTCTGATTTTCTCAGTCTAGAGAAGTTTAACATTTTGAACCACTGTATCTAATTTTTATGTAAGAAAGAAATCTTATTTTCCCTGTTTTTGATAAGAGATGGAGTTGAGAAATGCTAACATTGTGTTAGCAAGAAAAGATACTACTAGCCTTAAGGTTCAATAGGAGGACCCTGGATAGCTCAAAGAAGTCACCATGGACACAATGACTGAACAGTACGCTATGTTAAGAGTCCTTTATGTTTCACTGGCAATGTAAAAGTCTTAAAGCAGGTGATATTAAGGCCTTTTATGCAACAGATCCAAGCTGGATCTACTAAGTGCTTTTTTTTTTCTTTTTTTTTTTTTTTGTGGTGGTCACTAGCTTGTGCTGAGCCCAGATTAACTCAGTCTAATGGTTATGAGGTTTGTGAATAGAGTCTGATAACCAAAATGAAATCAGAATCCATTTTTCTATCTAGTTGGTAGGAACAAGCTCTGAGACTTCAGTCAACCTGAAGATGAACTCCCCTTTAGTTTCCAGATGTCATGTCTTCAAAGAACAGCTAGAACTTGTTTATGGAAATACTTGGAGTCCTCCTCTCCACCCCTCAAATGAATAGTCCTAAAACTGTAGGGTTCTTAAAGCCAGATCTTCAGTAATAGTACAGAATACTGCCTTTTATACCATGCTGCTAATGCTGTAAAATAGTGCAGTATATTTTTCCACCTAGAGAGCAACACCCAGTTAATATTTAAGTTAGTGAAGTGGAAATTTGTGTGACCTAATTTAAGAACCAGTCAAATGTCTTAGGTGAGAAAGTTTCACTAAAACGTAAATGCCACTGTATTTCTACTCTGCTTAAAAGATTCCAGGGTAAGGGGTAGGGGAGAATGGTTATAATACAGGGGAATGCAGTAGAGAGAAGGAACCCAATATCCAAATAATAGTCCAGCTTAACTTTTGAGAATGGAGGGTCTGGAAGGTTAACTTTCAACTCATGCATATGACAGGCTTTCTTTGTGTTATCCAAAAGGGGAGGAGAAAAGCTGATGTTACTAGTGAACTGAGATTAATTTTGTGAAGGTCTGCAAGGTATTATTTATAGTCTGTGCCAGAACTATGTTTCCATTAATGGTTTCTCCAAGCCATGCTTGAAAAATAGTGCAGTCTCATATAGTGTAAATGAGATTTGGCAATGTGAATTTAACTGTTTTCTATTTTAACAGACTCCTTCCCAACCCTTCCCTTGTTCCACTCATGAACTATCTTTATGTCTTTGGGTTCTTCCTCCTGCAGTCCAGTACATCATTCAACAGAGATGCTGTGAAAGCAGGGACAGGCCGGCGTTTTCTTGGTGGGCTGTTAAATGATACATCCTACTGCTACACTCTGGAAGTCTCATTCTACAGCTACATATTGGGTGGACCTAATTCTGCTGTTCCCTAAAAAAAAAGAAGAAGCATGTATCCTTCCTCCTCTTGCAGCACACGTGAACTGGGCACTTAAGGTAAATACTTCTATCTCAATAAGAGTTTACTGAGATAGGAACACAGAAGTGGAAATGTGAGTCTGCTCCTGATGCTTTAATTTCCCTCATATTGATTCTGCATACTGTGGAAATTCAAGAAGAGAAAGGCATATTAGATCAAATAAGCCATTTCCCTCTTGTAGGAGATTGTCTCACACACTTATTATAGAAACTAGTCCTGGAGAGCCTGTGACCCATTCCCTTCCATAGTCTTCGATTTCTTTCTTAATTTCTCTCCTTATTCTCTCATTACCCCTGTGTTTGTATTATTGTTTTAATAGCAAGTTGAAAGTGCATCTTTGGTACTGAGTTAAAATATCTTCTCCGCCTTTGAACTGCAGCCAAAAGGTTCTAAAGGACCCATTACGTTCTGCAGCTGCCTCAGGGCCAGGTCTTTAATACCAGTTGACAAAGAAATGGAAAGCGAGCTCTGCAAACAAAACCAAGATAGTTGTTTGCATTTTTGGGTGCTTAAATAGAAGCAGTATCTTATTCTTCAAAAAACACATATCCATCTGGCTATCTCAATGTATTAACAACTTGTAGAATTGTTCTGACTGGTCTTATGATCTGTTTTTATGTTTTTCTTCTTGTCACCATGCTCAATCAAATAACCAGGGCCACATACTTCAAGCTTGGGTGTGTTGTTTCATTTTGTCATTCTATCTTGGTAGCTTTTGAAATTTCCACAGGTTTAGAAACACTGCAGAGGGAGAAAGATTAGCTGTGATTGCCTATTTACCTCTTCACTGAATTTCAGAACTTGGAGAAGGTTTACAGCTTTAGGGTAGCGAGGGGGAAATTTTCATGAGACATAATTCTTCACCATCCATGCATATGTGCACACTGTGTGGGAATGAGAGTGAGAAACAGGGAGCAGGAAAAGTAATTCTTAATCATCTGGGGTTTTCTGGTTTGGCTTCTCCACTGAAAGTGAAATTTGGGGGAAGGAGGGGGATGAATATATTAAGGTGACTTATCAGACTTGAGCATTTGGAATACAAGGTCTTTTTTGCCCAGTAAGTTTAACTGTTTCCAAGGAGTACCTTTTTGCATCATAGACGTATGTAGCATATCTTGCCACTGAGGAAACAATTGTCATTACTGTTTGGGTTAGGTATTTATTTTCTTATGTTGGTATTTTGGCATTTTAAGAACATGTGCCTTAGTTTCACCTTTAATTTTCCTCCTCACTTAGTACTCATTGTACTGACAACTGCTTGTTTATCTTTCTTATTTACCAAGAACAGTTTTTGCAGTGAGGAGTGGGAAGAGTCCCTACACAAATGCAATCATGATTCCCTTGAATATATTTTTCTTCATGACTTGTAGGTCATGCTGGCTTAGTTTCCTTTTCCATAAAGATTTTTGGTTTGTGCTTCACATTACAGAGGATTCAGGTGTGAGGTCTGACGTCTCCATCTGTTTGCTTGGCTTGCCTTTTGCAGGCAGAGCTGCACCGTTCTCCATTCATTCATTGTGACCCTCAGCAGCTAGAGCACAGAAAACAGGTCCCAGCTCAGAGATCCTTCTTGGTGGGGATGTGTGGAAAGCTCAAGCAGCAGCTTGATTTCTACAGTTAGGGTTTCACCTAGCTGAGTGAAAAAGGAGGAGAAGATGATTTTGACTGGCCTGGAAGACAGCAAGCAGGGAAGGCTCTTTGCCCATGTAGTACGCTCCACAGGCATTTTGCCCTGGTAGGTTTTATTATTTCCTTTTCAATGGAGGGATTCTATCAAGAGTGCTGCTTAGGACAGCTCTTCCTCATGTGTGCAGTTTCCTAGTTAGAGAAAGAAATGGAGCTGCTTGAAGCACTTTCTAGGCTGGTCTGCTCTAACACAGGAGTGGCTGGATTTATGCACATCCTATCTCCTGGCATGGGAGAAGTTTCATATCACCAAAGTGCCTGTGACCAAAAGGAAAACAATTGCAGAACGTTCCAGTTTAGCATGAACAGCTCTTCCAAGCTATTTGCAAGTCAGTGATTAATTAATGCTCAGATTTTTTAATGGACCTGAACCAAAGACACAGCCAGTCAGTTCATATTGGCCTCCAAGGACAGGTGTGATTCTGTTAACTGTCTAGCTACATGCAGGCAGCAAGTCAAGCAAATAAATGAAGAACTGATAGGGCAAGTATTCAGGAAATCTGCCTTCAAAGATGTATTTCTTAGGACTCTCTTCATCCCACTGTGATGTTATTGGGTTGTGGGGTTTTGTGTTTTGTTTGGTATTGTTTTGTTTTTAATAGAAACAGGATCAGGGAGGCTGGAATTGTTCAAAGCTTGTAGTGTTTGATTAAGGAGTGCAGACTGAGACTCAGCCTCAAATTCAGGGAACCCTTGGCCTTGAACAGAGACTACAAAGCAGATCACACCCCACATTCAGAAACTAGCCATACTGGCTCCATGTAGAGACCAAAACAAATGAGGATCTCCAGGTTCTACAAAAATATTAACTTAGCCCAATGTTGTTCCTGTTGACAGGTGAGAAAACTGAACAAACTCTGAATAGTTTGCGCTGGTGGCATATAATTCTACCTGTCAGCTTCTTTCCTTTACAGCATTCGTGGTAAATAAGATCATAGTACTACCCCTTTTCATGCCATTATGTAAGTGGATTAGGTTTGTTGTTGGTTTTTTTTTTTTAAATCTCTTCATGTTCTTCAGGGTTTATGTGCTAACTCTGTCATCTATACAAACCTCTATGTGAGCCTGTAATAGATACATTTCTACATTGGGTAAGATTATGCTTTTTGTTCAGACTCGTGGACTGAAACATACTTTGTAATTATTGAGATAAATGGATAACTTACATGAATGAAAATAGGAGACAGACCTTCAGCCTGATAAGTGTTATCTGAATTCTGACATTGCTAGTGTGGACAGTAACTTTTTTCAATAAAAAAGTAAGGAAATTTTAAAAAAAGGAAAGGAAGGTATCATTAAAAGTGGAAATATGTTCCAAATTACTCCAGTTAGTATGACTGAATGTATTCTCTTAAATGAAATACCTCAAAGATTCAGAATTTAGAGGATTACACCTGGTATGTTCTATAAAAACAAATTTGCCCCTGAGGCTGCACTATTTAAATGAAATCCGGGAATGAAGGATCTTCCATCAGTCTGTGCAGGGGTTATATGTTTGGGACATATATGGTGGGATAAGAGCGTCCTGTGGAGTGTTGAATTTCTGGCCTCTTTTAACATCGGGAGTTAACGTGGTTGCATGAATGTTTCAGGCCTCAATTAGCATTATATCAATAATGGTTACTGCTGGAGTGTCTCTTGTATTTTCATCCTGCAAAGCACTGTATCGAGGGTAACTTCCTGAACGTCCTGTTATACATTCCTTCAGAGGTGTGTGCCTGGTAGGTCTGTGTCTAACTGATATGTACCTGGTGTACAATAAACATTACGGATATGTTCTCTAAGCCTGGCTCTGCAGAATACCCTACGATAACATGTGCTGTAGATAACAGTGAATGGACTCTGTTTCGAAGGCATAATAAGGGGATTGTAGGCTTGTCGGTTAGTTGCCTGGAAGTGGACAGAGAAATGTTTAAAACCCTTCTCACATGCACACACATTTGGTGGTAACTGATTAAAAAGGCAGAGCAGCAACAGTTTGCTCAGCACCAGGTAAAGAAGCTTTAAAATGAGCTGATATGCTTCCATTAAATACCATGTTTTACTAGGCATTTACAGGGCTTATGACACAATGCATGTAAACTGCTCTGTAACATTCACCACCAGCAGCTCAACTGCTGAGCTGTCTAGATACACACCAGCCTCATAGCTGGGCAGGGAACAAAGGATAAAAGAAGGGGAGGAAGGATGAATCCCCAGCTGTAGGACTCTGAGCGCTGCTCTGATAGCACACCCAGAATTGCTTTCCACTACAGCTGCTGATCAGCAGCTGTCACAGCCTGACCTGAGAGTGGCCAGTAAAAGAGTCTCACATCAACAGTTTTAAAATCTATTTGGTTCATTTTTTAGTGTTTGAACTGGATCCCTGCTGCACAGCAGGCAGCCCATAAGAGAGCATAAAAGGTTTTACTCTTCCAAAGACTAGCCATGAGATAGGAAGATAGAAATGATAGAGACTAGGCAAGAATTGGTATGATTGTAGCCTGGTAGCTGTAAGGGAGAATAATCATCAAGATGTGTGGGCACCACAATTGTCAGTGTGTCCATGGCTTTTTTTGTGTATTTTAATCTTAATTCTAAGCTTCCTCCAGGTGGGAAAGACCATCATCCAAAGATGGGCCTTTAGTCATTCATGTGTATAGCTTGTTGAAATCACTTCTGAGTGGAACAGGAGACTGGAACCCTGGACTGAGGGCCTGGTGGAACAGTTCTGCTTTGTACGGCTTGTCCAAGCACATCACTTCACCCCTTTGATTTAATGTCCGCAATACAAAGAAGGAATTTAATGAAACTTCTTTTGTAAAAATACAAACAAACAAAACAAAAGAAACATTTTGGAAGCCAAGGGGGAAGAACACAGAAGAAAGAGACATTATTAATGTTATCCCAAGATAGGTCTTTTTACATTACAAACAGCTGAGAAATTATCTCAATACTTTAAAACAGTATAGCTGAAACAACTTGCAAAGATATCATTTGGTATTTTCCATTTCACTGAATGTGTTGAATTGGAAGCTTTGCATCCCTTAAACAGGGCATACTTGCACCGCTGAACTCTCCTGTTTATGGATGTAAAAAAATGTATTTATATGGCTACAGCCACAGAATGAAAGCTTGGATCAACTAGAGTATCTTCAAGTGCCTAACAGGAGCTTGCATCTTGGACTCTCAGCACAGTTGGGGCCACTGGGTTCACTCTTATTCTTAGCTTCAAGCAGAATATCAGCCTGGTGCTTGACTGGGG